CAGGGATGGAGCAGCCACAGCTGCTCTGGGCAACCTGTGCCAGTGCCTCAACACCCTCACAGCCAAGAATTCCTTCCAAATATCCTATCTCTCCCTGACCTCTAGCAGTGGGAAGCCATTCCCTGTGTCCTGTCCCTCCATCCCTTGTCCCAAGTCCCTCTGCAGCTCTGTTGGAGCGGCTTGGGTCACTGGAAGGGCCTCTGAGGTCTCATTGGAGCATTCTGTTCTCCAGACTGAGCCCCCACAGCTCCCTCAGCCCTTCCTGCTGATTGGCTTGGCCTCTTGGCCACCTGGGCACACCTGGGCTCATGTCCACCTGCTGCCACCAGCACCCCCAGAGCCTTTTCCAGCTTTGCAGCTGCTCTGCCCCAGCCTGGAGCATTCCGTGGGGTTGTGGTGACCCAAGGGCAGGACCTGCACTTACTTGGCCTTGTTGACCTCCCCACCGTTGACCTTGGCCCATGGATCCCATGGATCAGCCCATCCAGACCTGGGCACACCTGGGCTCATGTCCACCTGCTGCCACCAGCACCCCCAGAGCCTTTTCCAGCTTTGCAGCTGCTCTGCCCCAGCCTGGAGCATTCCGTGGGGTTGTGGTGACCCAAGGGCAGGACCTGCACTTACTTGGCCTTGTTGACCTCCCCACCGTTGACCTTGGCCCATGGATCCCATGGATCAGCCCATCCAGATCCCAGCAGGGACTTGTGTCTTGCTGTATGTTCACTTTGGTGCTCTTGGGCAGAGCTGCAGCTCCCAGGCCCTGCCCATGTTGTTGGAGGGCTGTGCTGATCCTCCCCTGCATTACCCTTTCCTTCCCTCCACCGTTTTTGGTGGGATTTGTTGGAATGTTGACAGCGCAGTTTACTCCAGACACAGCTGTGTCTCCTGCTCAGGAAGTTCACTCCATCAGTCACAAATTTAGGTTTTTAGTCAATTTGGTTGTGCTGGTTCAAACCTTTGTGACAGGGAGAACTTCCCACCTCATTTCTGTGCAAGGCTGTGCTCATCCCCATGTGTAGAGGCTGTGATCCACCTGTGCCTGCAGTGAGAACACAAGTCACCTGCTGTGCTGTGCCCACCTGGGTTTGCTCCTGTCTACAGCAGAATGGGTTGAATAAAACCAAACAAAAACCCTCACCAGCACCAGTGAAAAGCTGGATCCATTCTCCTGGCTGGGATCAGAGAGCTCTGCTCTTTTCAGTGGAAATTGTGTAATTGGTTTTCTGGGAAAAACCCACAATGCACTCTCTCTGCAGCTCATTGTCAGCTCACCCCAGACCTGCTCCAAGGCTCACACGAGCAGCGTGGAGCATCCTCAGCTGTAAAACTTTCTGATCATTCTGATGAAGTCTTGCAGAGCCTGAACATGGGGCCTTTTTGTTTGCTTTTTTCCTGGGACTGGAGCATACATGGACTGGTTTCACTGTGGCTTATCGTGGCAGCTTCAACTTCTGTTCTCCTTGGGAATAAAAGTTGGATCTGGAATCTTTCTGCCTCTGCATGCATGGTGGTGGGGTAAGGGGCCATGGCTGCTTCCCAGCAGGGGATGAGCATCCAGAGCCACCCAGGCACTGACCGGGTGTTTCCTTGCAGTGGGACATCTCCCCTGGCCTGCCTGAATGCCATGTTACACACCAACTCCCGTGGGGAAGAGGGAATCTTCTACAAGGTCCCAGGACGCATGGGAGTCTACACCCTGAAGGTGAGTTCCTGGGCTGGCATCCTTTGGATGCTTAGGTGATTTTTATCCATTTAAAATACGTTGGATTACAGTCACAGTCTCGCTGGAAAAGCCCTCCAAGACCATTGAGTCCAGCCTGTGACCCATCACCACCTTGTCAACTAGACCAGAGCACTGAGTGCCACATCAGTCATTCCTTGAACACCTCCAGGGATGGTAACTCCACCCCCTCCCTGGACAGCCCCTTCCAATGCCTGACAGCCCTTTCCAGGAAGCAATTCCGTGTCATCCAGTTATCCAGTATAATCCTGAAGAGGGGACTGTTCCTCATTGGCAGGAACTGCAGTGTAAGCTTTCCCTCCACATGGATATGCTGAGGCTTCTCGTGAGTACCTTGGTGTGAAGGTACAGCTGGAGGTGCTTGTTTTTATCCACAGTGTATTTTGCTGATGTTAATTACTGTCTCAGAAATAAAAGAGTAATTAAAAGGTTAATGAAACTTTAGTGACTTTATCTTCACTGCTCTCAGCTTGTACCTAGAAATGAAAAATGATCTTATCCTCAACCTGTTAGTCAGGCAGAGACCATGTGTAGGGAGAAATGTGGATTCCTTGATTTGTCTGATTGGCATAATTAAAAAGAATCTGTATTGGAAAGTGTTTCCCCAGGTAAATACTGGAAGGGAATTTGACTCTGGAGATGTTGCACACAGACCTGTTTGGTGTGGGTGTCCCCACAAGGAACCTTTTCCTCCTCTCACTACATCCTTGATAGAAATAGAATCACAGAACCATTAACACTGACAACCCTTGTGTCATCTTACGTGGCCTTACCTGTGGGAATCACTCCTGTCTCTGAAATCAGGGACAGGACAAAGAATCAGTTGTCTCTAGGTCCAGGCAGAGCTGGTTTTATGTACATTTCCCAGCAGGCAGAGACACACATACAGACCTGTGTGTCTGTCCAGCTGTTACAGCCTGGTGTCTCCTACAGTGAAGACTGAACAGGTCACTTAGGTTACTCACAAGGAATTTGGGATGATAGCAGCAGTTCAGGTGTGGCTGAGGGGATGGAACAGAAGGGGTGGAGTAGGGATGAGAGTTGGGGAGGGCTGGTGCTTGTGGCTGCTGTCTGTCCCTACATGGCTCATGCCTCTGAGAGGTGCCTGGAGCTATTTGGGTGGAGGACAAGGGTGGCATCCCCCACACAACTGAACACCTCAGCAGCACTGAACAGTCTGTTGTTGCTAATTAACCTACAGTGGAAATTAGTGCAGAGTCCCGAATCTGTTGGGATAAGCACTAGAGGGCAGGCTGGGGTCGGTGTGGGCAGGACAAAACCTCTGCTGTTCCCTCTGGAGCTGTTACAGCCTATAACCACACAGGTGAATGCAGGTGAATGGACCTGCACCCACAGCCTTGGCAGCAGAGGTATCTCACAGAATCCCAGAATCACTGAGGTTGGAAAAGCTCTCCAAGACCATTGTGTGCAGCCTGTGACCCATCACCATCTTGTCATCTAGACCAGATCACTGTCATGTTCAGTCATTCCTTGAACACCTCCAGGGATGGTGACTCCACCCCCTCTCTGGACAGTCCTCTCCAATGCCTGACAGCCCTTTCCATGGAGAAATTCCTCCTGATAACGACCCTGAGCCTCCCTGTAGCTGAACAGGCTGAGCCCCCCCAGCTCCCTCAGCTGCTCCTCATAGGACTTATGCATCACACAGACGCCCCTGCCAGGTCTGTTTTTCCAAGGATCTGTGTTGGCAGGTCAGGGGTTGCTCTGATCTGGTGGGGACAGTAATGTTACCTGGGACCAGGGAGCTCTGAGCCCTCAAACTGGTTTACTTATATCATGAAGTTCAACAATTGGCTGTATTTCTCCTAAAGTGTGAGTGTATTATTATGGAATCCCAGACTGGTTAGTTTTGGAAGTGACCTTAAAGATTATCCAGCCATGGGCAGAGAGACACCTTCCACTAGCCCAGGTTGCTCCAAGCCCCATCCAACCTGGCCTGGAACACTCCCAGGGATGGAGCAGCCACAGCTGCTCTGGGCAATGTGTGCCAGTGCCTCACCAGTCTCACAGCCAGGAATTCCTTCCCAATATCCCATCTCTCCCTGCCCTCTGGCAGTGGGAAGCCATTCCCTGTGTCCTGTCCCTCCAGGCCCTTGTATTGCAATCAGTGATTGGGGTGGAAAAGTTCCCTGTGAGGTGGTGACCAAGGTGGCGTTTGATGTGTCACCTGGCAGTGAGTGTTTCACATGGACTCACAGAGGCAGCATTGTGTGAGGCTTGTGGTGAAGCAGCTCTGTCTTTGTCCTGGAGCACAAATAAGTCCACACTCACTGCCTGGTAAATAAACCCCCTCTACTTTTCAGGGTTTTGTTCCCTGGGAGGTTCCTCTCGCAGTGGTGACTGTGTCCATGTGTTCCCTTGCAGAAGGACGTTCTGGACGGGCTGAAGGAGCTGTCAGAGGGCTCTGAGGAGAGCAGCGATGCACAGTCTGACTCACAGAGCTCCGAGAACAGCAGCAGCAGCAGTGATGGTTGCAGCAACAAAGATGGGAGGAAAAGCAGGTGGAAAAGGAAAGGTAATTTTCCATGTCAGGAGTGCTGATTTTAACTTGCGGCTCATCGGGGAAGGCCTTGGAGGTGTTTATCCCTCCTGTCTGTTGCCTTACTGACAGGCTGGAGCAGTCACAGCTTGAGGTGTGCTGTTACCCCTGGTGCTCATGGTTGGACAGGAGTGTTGGTGCACCAGAGGGGAGCAGGTGCCTGTAATGAGATGTGTTTAAGGCCCTGACACAGTCACAAACCAGCACACTGCGCTTCACACCCAGGAAAAGCCAACTGCTCCTGCCAGGCTTTCTCTGCCATCCTCTGCCATTCCCTGGAAAGCTCCACCGTTTGCTTCAGGCCTCTTAGTGCTTTTTGATACAGCGCTGCCTGGGAGTGAGCACAGTCTGTGAGGTTAGAGCCTGTCAGGTGAATGGTGGGTCCTGTGGGGTTTGGGCTTGAGTCCTGTCCTGTTTTGGCCTCCTCTCCCTCCTAAACCAGGCAATGTTTAGGTATTCAGCACTGATGTTGTAACTCTGCCCTTCAATCCAGTCCTTTCTTTGTTCCTTTTCTCCTCAGTCATCTGCAGAATTTCTTGGCTGAGGAAAAGCATTATTTAAAACTGATTTCCAGTGCAGTGGGACCCATGAGTGGAAGCAGAGAGTTTTTGAAGCTGTTAAGACCTGCCCTGAGCAGTGAGGGCTGCTGAGCCCCTGCCAGGGTGGGGAGTCACTGAATGAGAACAGGCTCTTACTGCACAGGTGTGTCAGCTCACCTGGGCCAGACCCTGCTGGACCTTTCCCTGGAGTCACAGGCCAATAACAAAAAAAGTATTATGTAGAATTTGAAGTATTTAAAGCACCTTGGAGGTACAAAATTACTAAAAACCCCTAGAAGTAAGACATGACTCCAGATCCAGCCTTTGACCATGGCAGAAGGGTTGGAACTAGGATGGTCCCTTCCAACCCAAGCCATTCTGTGATTCCATAATTCTATGAAAGCTGTAAATAGTCCAGCTGAGATACTTTAATTCCTAACTAATCCTCTCAAAATA